CTTCCCAGGACCTGTTTGTTTTTGACTCACTTTTCCCCGACCTCTCTCTGACAGCGAAACCCCCTTCGGGGTGACAATTCCACGCTCCAGGGATGCAGACAACGTCTTTACCCCTCACGAGACAAGTGTACTCCGTCACGACTGTACAGGTAGTCGTTGCCAGCTATCAATGAATGCCCAACCATTGTTTGCACAATGTTTTCCAGTCGGCAATTTATGCAATTGCCCTGGACAGCCATTCACGACCAACCCCTCTTCGGCAAGACACCACATACTATCGGGATCCCTCCTATCTCTAATCTTCCCAGCCTCCCTATACCTCTTGAAAAGTTCCTCCACTCCTAACCTTACCTATGTCGTTTCCTCCCACACTAAGACACACTACTGGATTGGTACCTCTGACAAAACCCTGTCCTAACCTCTCAGCTACATGCCCTATCCAGCCCCAGGAAAACACACCCTAGTCCTACGTTTCTTATCTCTCGCACAAAAGCCCAATCTACAAACCTCACCTGGCTGTCCCCAACTACCACGACCTTACCTGTGGGCAGGGTTTGTACAACTGCCCTTTTCTCTCCTTGCTACATACCGTCCTGCCTCTTCTCTTCCTCGCCAGCTTCCTGCAGCACCTGGTAAGGGCTACTACACTCCACACCCTGGTCAGCTTTCCTGAGCCTGACCCTAGTCCCCTTGGAGACAACCACTCTCCGCCTGCTCCTCCTTCACAGGTGTCCTGCTGGGCAGGACACCTACCTGTAGGAGTTCCATCCTGAGGGCTTCATTTTCCCCTTTAGAGTGTCAACCTCACTCCTCAACTTTCCCAGCTGCCTTAACAGCGTGGCAAGGAGGAGTCGTCTTTCCCCTCCCCTCCTCTTCCCCAAGACACAACGATCCAAGGCGGCCATTTTCCTTGATCTCTAACGGAGCACTTGCAGGCACATTCTCCAAGCTGGGTCAGGTAGCAACACACACACACACACACACACACACACACACACACATATATATATATATATATATATATATATATATATATATATATATATATATATATATATATATATATATATATAGAGGTCAGGTCATAATGATGTCAACTAATATCCCTTACAATATATATATATATATATATATATATATATATATATATATATATATATATATATATATATATATACATATATATACTGTATATACACTAACAGAAACGCCGCCCTTCGGGCGGTTCATTCTCAAGGCCACGGTAGGACGCCACCCTCCGGGAGGCTCCACATTGTCTCACTGTTCAGTCCCAAAAACTTCTGTTCATTAACGGTGTAGGTAAGTTCCACCATGTTTTTCACTACAATGGTACAGCAAAGTATATTTTTTTAGCATTAAACTGTTATTATAATATTGTCTAATCATCACTACATATAACACCACCCATCATCACTACATATAACATCATCCATCGTCACTACATATAACACCATCCATCATCACTACATATAACACCAGCCATCATCACTACATATAACACCACCCATCATCACTACATATAACACCAGCCATCATCACTACATATAACACCACCCATCATCACTACATATAACACCATTCATCATCACTACATATAACACCATCCATCATCACTACATATAACACCACCCATCATTACTACAGATCGGTAAAGTAGTTTCCGAGATTCTCGTGCGGACAAACACGCACACACAAACAGACATACTTCTTTGTTATATATGGATACAGTTTTAGTATATCAGCTATTTTGCCATCGTGGATAAAGTGTTCTGCCATATCACACACAGTATGCTTGGACCTATCTCTAAACACTCCCATTATTCACAGTCTAAGAGTGAGTGGCCACATGTCTGGCCACACACTTTACATTTAGTTTTGTTCACATCTGCCTGAGGGGCATACTGCCAGAGGTACTTATATCCTAACCTTAGACTAACGGTTACAACATCTTGTAATCTAGTGATCTTGTTACTCGCTCGTAGTGGTGATGGTGGCGACCAACGTCAAATGGGAGACTTTGATCATACCCTATAAGGGTCACCGTTACTGTATTTGGTCCGTGGACAGAATTCCACCGGAGGAAATTCAACAGTAAAATAATAGTGGATACAATTAACACCAATGAAAACTTACCACCAGAAAATAAATCTCATCAAACATTGGCAAATGTTA